CTCCCTGGCTTCTTAAATATGAGAATAACGAATTCATCTGCATACACCCTCTTTCCAGTCCTTACTTTCCCACAGTTATTCGGTTAATTCCTGAAACTTCTTTTTCAATAATGCTTTCAGTGCATCTTGGACTTTTGCCTTCTATACCACGGGCTTTTGATTATATACTGCCTCCTGAAATGGTTGAATTTCACCTAATTTGTTTTCCTGCATCGTTCATGATTTTGTCCATAGGATCCTTCAACGTTTCAGCTTGAGGCTTGGATTTTTCTTCAGTGCTTTCAACTTGAGAAACGCTAAGCATGTTCTTCAATGTAGTTTCTAACTCCAGGTCTTTGCACATATAACACTTTGTCTTCCCCAGCTGCCCTTGGACATTTTCAGTTCAATTCTTTTGCTTCCTCATTTCTTCCAGTTTTTGTTTTGTTTTGCTTCTTTATCACTAAAAGCAAGCTTTAGAGTCTCTTCTGGCATCCATTTCAGTCTTTTCTTTCCAGTCGTAGTGTCCATTTGGTTTCTTTGTGCATGATGTTCTTGATGTCATCCCACAACTCATCTGGTTTGAATCATTCATGTTCAATGAGTCAAATCTATTCTTGAGGTGTTTTCTGGACTCAGATGGAATATATTCAAAGTTGCATTTTGGTTCTCATGGACTTGTTTTGATGTTCTTCAGCTTCAACTTGAACTTGAAGATGTGAAATTAATGGTCTGTTCCATACTCAATCCCTGGCCTTATTTGGCTGATGATATTGAGCTTCTCCCTGGTCTCTTTCCGTAGATGGAGTTTATTTGATTTCTGTGTATTTCCTCTGGTGAAGTCCACATGTGTAGACATTGTTTATGTTGTTGGATAAGAGTGGTATTCACAATTAATTATTGATCTTGCAAAATTCTTTCATGTGATCTCTGGTTCATTTCTATTAACAGCACTATAATTTCTAATTACTGATCCTTTCTATTTGTTTCCATGAGGAAATTGGAAAAGTGGGATTAAAGGCCCAAGGAGCAAGATCAAAAGGGGAATAATACCCTTTAAGACTTGGGAGAAAGGAATGAAAATGAATACAGAAACTGACCAGTCTGAGGGACCGGCTCCAATCCCAACTACATGGACAGCCCCACACCTCCTCGCAGAAGAAGTCACTTCAGAGGACAGCACTGAAGCTGCAGCTCAGGGAGAGGGACACATCTGATCAGAGCACACAGGAGAAAATGAAGGGGGAGGAAGAAAGAGTGGAACACATCTTGGTCCATCAAGCCCTGAGGACAATATTCTTGCTCAGAGCAGCCAAAGCACAGAGAGGACCATAGGGCTGGCCCCAGGACAAGACATGATGTCCCTCACTGACCCATAGCACTAGGGGGGGCAACACTGGAGACACAGTGTAGGAATTGTGCCCGATCTGACCTCACCACACTGAGGCGAAACACTCAGGGTGTGCAACAGAACAGCAAGGGGAGCAGAGCAACTAAGTCCCCAGGGAATGCCAAAAATAGACTTTGTGGCCAGGGCATGGCACACCATCAGACTTGACTGGAAAACACTCCTAAAAGTCAATAAACAGACCTTGAACTGTTGTTGGGTTTTTGTTGTTGTTTTGTTTTCTTTTGTTGCTTTGTTTTGCTTTGTCTTGTTTTTTTGTGTGCATATTATTGTCTCTGCAGGTCTATCTAAATAAGATAGGTGGGATAAAATATCTGGAGGAGAAAATAATTGGACCGACAGTTCCAGGAGCGACATGGGAGAAGGGGAGGCAGGGGAAAGGAAATGGGTGTTAACAACCTCGGGGACAAGGGAACAACAAGTGATCTAAAATTGATGGTGAGGAGGGTGTAGGAGGCCTGGTAGGGCTTGATCAACGGCAATGTAACTGAGCGTAATTACTGAAACCCAGATGAAGTTTGAACAGGATAGTGGGACAAGAGGAAAGCAAAAGGAAATAGAGGAAAGAACTAGGAGGCAAAGGACATTTATAGAGGTCTCAATACAGGCATGTACATATGTAAATATATTTATATATGATGATGGGGAAATAGATCTATGTGCATATATTTATAGGTTTAGTATTAAGGTAGCAGATGGACTTTGGACCTCCACTCAAGTACTCCCTCAATGCAAGAACACTTTGCTCTATTAACCTGGCACTCCGTGATGCTCACCTTCCCCACACAATCACTGAAGAAAAGATAGGTGCATGGGCAAAAATGTGGTGAAGAAAGCCGATGGTGCCTGGCTATCAAAAGATAAAGCACCTGGAGTCTTATAGGCTTGAAGATAAACAAGCGGCCATCTAGCTAAGAGGCAACAAAGTCCACATGGAAGAAGCACATCAGCCTGTGTGATCACGAGGTGTTGATAGGATCAGGTATCAGGTATCAAAGAACAAAAAAAATCATATCGTGAATGTGGAGTGGAGACTCAAAGCCCATTTGTAGGCAACTGGACATCCCTTTACAGAAGGATCTCTGGGAGGACAGATAACCCCCTCAGGGCCAATAATGAGAGTAGAGTTACCAAGGGGGGAAGCAGAAGGTGAGGGAGAAACGGGGAACAAATCACAATGATCTACATATAAACCCCTCCCTGGGGAACGGACAGCAGAAAAGTGGGTGAAGGGAGACATCGGATAGTGTAAGACATGACAAAATAATAATAATTTATAAATTATCAAGGGATAAATTATACCTTCGTGAAGGAGGGAGGGTGAGGGAGGGAGTGGCAAAAATGAGGAGCTGATACCAAGGGCTCAAGTAGAAAGCAAATGTTTTGAGACTGATGAGGTCAATAAATGTACAAATGTGCTTGATACAATGAATTTACGTATGGATTGTGATAAGAGTTGTATGAGCCCCCTGTAAAATGATTTACAAATAAAATGACCAGTTTGGAAATAGGAATTTGGGGGTTGTGAAAAATGATGTCTGATAGCTTTATTTATTTGCATAAAATAGGAAGGGGTGCCATCTGTAAACTGAGAAGGACTGAGGATCTTAGGAAGACATCAAGGGTCTCTGAAGACCACAAGAAGGAGCTAATTAGGGATCAGTAAAACCATTTCTCAGCAACATGAAAGACACCGCTGAGGTAAGACAACATGAATCTATGGTGGTCCAGTCTCCACTGTTGTTTGGCTTTCTTTGGCTGGTATCAACATGAATGAAGAAGGCATGTTTTAACATCCAAGGACTGGATGTGAAGCTGCAAGTGGAAAAACAGGATGTGAATTAAGTTAAGATACTGGTGAGAGAGGAAGTCTCATCATAATCAACCATCAGATTCAAGGGAAGGATGGAGACCAAGAGGTAATTGATGTGTAGGGAAGGGGGAGGGGAGGAATCAAGAGGACTGGAAATTTCTATGAGGTCAAGAGGCAGATGAGAAGCCATGTGAAAGATGGAAGATCAGAGAAATCCTACTGAAATGGCACTCTTAGAATTTTGTATCCGTTCTATTGTTAGGAGTAATTTGACTGTACCTCTGCTACTAAGAATCACTTGATTAAGCATTTCCCTTCAGTCTTCCTAAGATAATTAACCAAACAGTAGAGGGATCATAAGATTGATAAGACTCAGTGTCTAGTTTAGCTTAGAAATACACTGAGCTTAGAAATACACAGTAGACTATCGAATATCCAATCAACTATTTATCAGAGGGGAATATAAATCTTGATTAATTAAGCTTTTAGAACCAGGTAGACAGAGGTGGATGATCATTGCAAAATTAGTGTACATATCTAGATCTCTGATGTGGTTGTTAATATCGCAAAGAATTGGGAATTCCAAAACACTTAAGTGTGCTCATGCAGAACCTGTCTATAAACCAACAGGCCTTCATTCAAACAGGATAAGGGAATATTATATAGTTTAAAAAAAAGAAGAAGAACATGCTCAGCAGACCTGAAACTGAAATAACTCAAGAAAATACTCAAGACTTGAGTTGCAATATTGAAAACTTCGATGGGGAAAATATTGAATGAAGCAGGAAGCATCAAAAGACGATGTGAAGAATACAAAGAGTAAGTGTAGCAAAAAGAACTAGTCAATATTCAATCATTTCAGGAGACAGCATATGAGCAAGAACCAATGACGTTAAACGAAGAAGTTCAAGCTGCACAGAAAGCATTAGCCCAAAACAAATGCTCTGGGAATTGACAGAATACTAACTGAAATGTTTCAACAAATTGATGAAGCCCTGGAAGCACCTACCTTTCTGTGCCAGGGAAGTTGGAAGACAGCTACATGGCCAACTGATTGGAAGAGATCCATATTTGTACCCATTCCAAAGAAAGATGATCCAACAGAATGTGCAAATTATAGCACAGTATCACTGATATCACATGCTATTTAAATTTTGCTGAAGATCATCCATTAAGGGTTATATTAGTGCATTGACAGGGAGCTGCCAGAAGTTCAGGCTCGATTTAGAAGAAGACGAGGAAAGAGGGAGATCATTGCTGATGTCAGATGAATCTTGGCTGACAACAACAACAATATAAGCATATCTAGGAGATATTCCAGATTCAATTCCAGACCACCACAATAAAATGCATATCATAGTAGAGTGAGTTCCACAGATTTTTTGTTTCCCAGTGAATAAAAAAGTTATATTTACACTATATTATAGCCTATCGATTGTATAGTAGTATTGTGGAAAAGCTTGAAATATTGTGAGGGTTACCAAAATGTGACACACAGACACCACTTGAGCACATGCTACTGTACAAATGATACCAACAGACTTGCTGTATGCAGGTTGCCACAAACTTTCATTTTGTAAAAAGCAATTTGCCACAAACTTTCAATTTGTAAAAATTGTTTCAGTCTCAGAAAAAATGCATTAAAACAAAGTATACCTGTACTGGAAACCAAATCTTACATATATTGGGTGACCCAAAACATTTATTATTATTTATGTGATTAATTATTTAAGCCTGTTTTCATATTTGTACTTTGAAGCTTTCACAATAAGTGAAAAATTTTGGAGAGAATATACTTACAATTGAAGGACAGGCTGAAATTCTCTTCTGAAATCCAGTCTCCATAGGCATCCATATAGACTTGTATCATACCTGACTTTCTAGAAAATGAAAAATGTTTTAGTATATACAAATATATAACCTATCTATAAAGAGATTATATATTTGGCCCAGTTACATTATAACTTTCTTACCAAGTCTTCAAGTGGTTGATGCCTCAGATATGACCTATGAAAGACATTTTGAATTATCTACTTCATTTTCTTCTTTTCAAATTTGAAAACAAAAAATCAATTCTTTATCGTTTGTTTAAGATGAACATGTTTGTTACTAAAGAATTCAAGTCATTTCAATTTTACCTTTCCTCCTCTTTTTTTTTAAGCCACTCAAACCACTATTTAGGTTTGGGGGATAAGAATATATGTTTTTTTATAGATAAGGATATGTCAAAAAATAAAAGTTACCTATAAATACAAAGTACTGAATGTTTACTATGTTTCAGACATTTTCACATATAATAATGCATTTTTACAATAACCAACAGGGTGTGAATTATTATCCTCTAATTGTGCAAATGACACAGTTGTCAGGAATTATGTGAAATTTGATCAAGGCTACAAGCTTTGCTTTACTACTAAGAAAGAGGATGACCATAAAACCCATGTTCATCTTGTTATTCCAATGCAGTTCTTTTCAAAATGTTAATTGGTCAAAGAATAACCTAGCTTAAAATCAGTAAAAATAGGCTTATAGTTTAAAACTTCAGTTATCTCCTAATGTATATTTCTTGCTAAAATGGAATCCTTACCCTTAATGAACTCATATATTTACTCCTTAAAACCACCCTCTCCCACATATTTCCGGTCTTGTCAATCTTTGAAGTTAAATCAACTTCACAAGCCACATACTCTATATATCATACTTCATCCAAGGAAACAGAACTCAAGAAATTTTCACAATAGTTGAGAGCACCTACTCTGTATCCTTAACATTAAGAACCAGATGCTACATAAACAGAAAAGGCAATGCCTTCATCAGCTATTCAACATTTTTTTCTTACCCCTTGTATTCCACCAACCATGCATTGCAACCTGGAGCCTCTAGGCTCCCGAATCCTCCCAAACTGCCTAAAAGTTTATTAAAATAAAATAATAAAAGGCTATTGGTTAAACATTCTTTCATTGAGCTTAATTAAGAGTCTTCAATAACTCTTAAAAAAACTCTTTTCAATGCTTTTCAAAAACTATTGCAAATATCTCAAAGGCTGTAGACTAATAACCTCTTGAGATGGCCTAAATTTTTTTTATAACTATGTTTGTATAACAAAGAAGGAAAAGATGAATAGAATGTGAAAGTTTTAAACAACGAATGCTTGGTAGCTGGTGTGATAGGTAGGATTATTGTGGCAACCTGGCCAATAGACACATGTGGAATTAGTAAGGTTGCAGTTTAATTGAAAGACAAAGAGATAAATGGCTTGGTGTACCTCACCTTTCTGTCTCCTGCTCTCTGATGTCCGGACCAGTGTTCGGCTATCTTAGCTAGTTCTCTGCCTCAACTTGCGAGCTACACTACCTGTGGGACACCCAACCCATAGACTGTGTGACTATAGTTTGAGGTTCCTTCAAGACCTGTTTCGCCACACTGCTGGTGTATACATCACTTGAGCTGGGGACTGCCGGACCCTGCCATCTAGCTGACTGTTGGTGACCTGCCCTGCTGTTTGCTGCCTGTGGCCGGACTGCCTGTATTGCTCTACAGGAGACTCAGCTGTCTGCTTCCTTGACTTGCACCCAGCAGCCCACGTGAGTTGAAGGATTGCCAGTATATTAACTGTCTCACAGATGTGAGTTGAACTGTGCCATTTGTACTGCTCTGTGGATAATTAGCTGTTCATTTCTTATATTCTATCTATCTATCTATCTATCTATCTATCTATCTATCTATCTATCTATCTATCTATCATCTATCTATCTATCTATCTAACTATCTAAACTCAAAAGTGTCCTAGTTTTGTTTCTCTAGAGAACCCTGTCTAACACAGCTAGAAAACACACTTTGACAATAGGAACTATGCCAGAAATTGCATAGCAGAATTTTGCAAGAACAAGACTTATTCATTGCAAATATCCTTTTTCCCCCCAGCAACATAAATGATGACTATACTTTGGACTTCACCAGAGAGAATAAACAGTCAAATTAACTATCTGTAGAAAGAGACCATGGCTACATGCAATATAAGTCTGAGGCCGACTATGGAACAGACCATCAATCGGTCATATGCAAGCTCAAGTTGAAGCTGAAGAAAATGAAAACACGTCCAGAAGAGTCGCAGCGTGACCCTGAACATGTTGTTGTTGTTAGGTGCCATTTCCAGCTCATAGTGACACTATGTACAACCAAACAAAACACTGCCTGGTCCCACACCACCCTCACAATTGTTCTTATGTTTGAGTCCATTGTTGCAGCCACTGTCTCAATCCATCTTGTTGAGAGCCTTCCTCTTTCTCGTTGTCCCTGTACTTTATCAAGCATGATGTCCTTGTCCAGAGTCTGGCCTCTTCTGCTAATATGTCCAAAGTAGGTGAGGAATTCCTGCCATCCTTGCTTGAGAGGAGAATTCTGACTGTACTTGTTCTAAGACTGACGTATTTGTTCTTTTGGCAGTCCATGGTACTTTCAATATTTGTCACCAGCACCATAATTCAAAGATGTCAATTTTTCTTCAGTATTCCTTGTTCACACGCATATGAGGCAATTGAAAATATGACTTGGGGAAGCACACCTTAGACCTCAAAATAACATCCTTGGTTTTCAACACTTTACAGAGATCTTATGTAGCAGATTTGCCCAATGCAATTATGGCATTTGATCTCGTCTGCTGTTTCCATAAGCATTGGTTATGGGTCCAAGCAAGATGAAATCCTTGATAACTTCAACTTTTTATTTATTTATTTTTTTGCCATTTATCATGATGGTCTAGTTGTCAGAATTTTGGGTTTCTTTACATCCAGTTGTAATACATATTGAAGGCTATAATTCTTGATTTTCCTCAGTAAGTGCTTCAAGTCCTCCTTTCAAACCCTCATTTTCAGCAAGCAAAGTTGTGTCATGTTAGTATTGTAAGTTGTTAATAAGCTTTTCTCCAAACCTGACACCACTTTCTTATTTATCTAAGCCTGCATTCCCTATTTGCTCAACATACAGACTGAATATGTGTGGTGAGAGGATACAGCCCTGACACACACCTTTCCTGATTTTCAACCATGTAGTATTCCCTTGTTCTGTTCACACAACTGCCTCTTGATCCATGTACATGCTTTGTATGAACACAATGAAGTGTTCTGGAATTCCCATTCTTTTCAAGGCAGTCCATAATTTATTATGATCGACAGAGTTGAATGCCTTGGTATGATCAATAATGCACAGAAGCAAATATAGTTCTGGTATTCTTTGCTTTGAATGCTCTGCATTCTCTTTTGAATCTGGCCTGAACTGGCAGTTCCCTGTCAATGTACTGCTGCAACCATTGTTGGATGGTTTTCAGCAAAATTTTAGTTTCATGCGCTATCAATATTGTTCTATAAAATTTCCCATTCTGTTGGGTCACCTTTCATGGAATGAGTACAAATATGGATGGATCTCTTCCAATCAGTTGGCCAGGTCTTCCAAATTTCCTGGCATAGATGAGTGAGCACTGCCAGGGCTTCTTCAGCTTGTTGAAACATTTCAAGTGCTATTCTGTCAATTCCTGGATCCTTGTTTTTGGCTAATACTTTCAATTCAGCTTGAATTTTTTTCCTTCAGTATCATTAGTTCTTGCCCATATGCTGCTTCTTGGAATAAATGAATGTGGACTAGTTCTTTTTGGTATAGTGGCTGTATATTCTTTCCATCTTTCTTTTGATGTTTCTTGCATCATTCAATATTTTGACCATAGAAGTTTTCAATATTGCAACTAGAGACTTGCATTTTTTCAGTTTAAGATCGTGTTCTTCATTTTTGGATTTCTAATTCTAAGTCTTTGCACATTACATTTAATTTTTATTTTGTCATCTCGAGATGCTTTAAAATGTTTTACTGAGCTCTTTTACTTCATCGTTTCTTCCATTTACTCTGACGACTCTATGCTTAACAGCAAGTGTCAGGATTTCTTCTCACATCCATCGAGACATTTTCTTTCTTTCCTGTCTTTTTGATGACTCATTACTGTTTTCATACATGATGTTCTTGATGTCACTCCACAGCGCTTCAGGTCTTCTGTCATTAGAGTTCAATATGTCAAATCTGTCCGTTAGTAGTTATCAAAATTCAGGTGGGCATTTTGGCTCTGGTGGACTTGTTTTAATTTTCTTCAGCTTTAACCTGAACTTACCTATGAGCAATTGGTGGTCTGTACCACAGTCCACCCTTGACCTGATGTTAGCTGCTGATATTGAGCTTCTCCATCACTTTCCCCACAGATATAGCCTATTTGATTTCTGTATATTCCATCTGGAGAAGTCCACGCGTATAGTCACCTTTTGAGTAGTTGGGGAAAAAAAGTATTTGCTATGTAGAATTTCTTAGTCTTGCAAAATGCTATCATGTGATCTCTGGCTTAATTTCTTATCACGAAGACCATATTCCCAACTACCATTCCTTCCTCTTTTTCCCCAACGTTTGCATTCCAATCACTGATAATCATCAATACATCTTGAGTTCATGTTTGATCATTTCAGCCTGAAGATGTTGGTAAAATCTTTGATTTCTTCATCACTAGCTTTAGTGGTTGGTACATAAATTTGAATAATAATTGTATGAACAGATATCCTTGAATGTGGATAGATATACTGTAATCCTATCACAGACAGCATTGTACTGCAAGACAGATCTTGAAATGTACTCTGACATTGAATGCAATGCCATTCTTTTTGGTGATGTCATTTCCAGCATAGTAAGTCATATGATTTTCTGATTCAAAATGGCCAATTCCAGTCCAGTTTAGCTTCAGATTACTAATGCCTACTATATCGGTCTTTATATAGTCCATTTTATTTTTGACAACTTCCAATTTTCCTAGATTCACATTTTTTTTCATTTTACTGGGGCTCCTACAGCTCTTATCACAATCCATCTATACATCCATCATGTCAAGCACATTTGTACATTTGTTGCCATCATCATTTTAAAAAAATTTTCTTTCTACTTGAACCCTTGGTATCAGCTCATTTTCCCCTCCCTTCCCC